GTGGACGATTCAGCGGTAGTACAGTTGGAGGATATTCAGGTTGATGACAGCTTGAATTACATTGAGCACCCAGTCGCAATACTCGACAGGAAGTCAAAGGCTTTGAGAAACAAGATGGTAGAACTAGTGAAGGTGCAATGGCAGCACCGCAAGGGTTCGGCATGGACTTAGGAGCCGATGGACGAGATGATGGAGCATTACCCCAAGCTGTTTCAGGATCGAGCAGCAGACTTCGAGGATGAAGTCTAAAATAAGTGGGGGAGATTTGTAGCACCTGTTTTCCGGTATGTGAATTTTAGTATTTCCCTATTTTAGCCTTGGACTCGGCAAGTCATAAGGTCCGACTCGCCGAGTAGGGACGAGACTCAGGACACGTTTAAGTTGGCGACTCGGCGAGTCCATATCCCGGACTCGGCGAGTCACCGCTGCTGGATGAAACCCTAAATTTCAAGGGTTTGCACCCTATTTAAACCCTCATTCCGCCCCAAACTCGTCCCCATTCACCCCCAGAACTCCCAACATCGTTTATTCCCTTATTTCCTTGAGAGATTGAAGTGTTTTGGAGTGTTCTTGAAGATTTTGAGGAGAAAGAAGAGTAGATCAAGAAGAGGAGAAGGAGACCAGGCATCTTTGTGTCATCTCAACGTTTTCCTTGAGGTATAGCTCGTTTCCCCTCTGTTTTCAAGCTTGTAATCTCTTTTAGCTTCATAGGAGTCCTTCTTGGGCTCTTCCCCAAGCTTGTTTGTGCTTTGTGGGTTGTAATAAGTTGTTAGCCTTTAGATCTAGGCATGATTTAGTCCCTGGAGCTTGGATCTAATGCCTTTATGGGGTCATATTGCATGAAAGCCCTAGATCTACCTCTTTTGGTGCACTTTGAGCCTTAAAATCCATATTGGTGAATATCTACACGTAAAGTTGGAAACTTTACGTGTGATTTGTGTCCTAGAAGCCCAGATCTGTGAATGGCATGGACTGGAATCGAGCAAATCGGTGTATTTGATGGATGCATGGCTGCGACTCGGCGAGTCGTATATGTGACTCGACGAGTCTGGTCGCGAGTCACTGAATTGGTCCCTTCATGATGTGTCGAGTTGAGCCGTGAGTCACAGGGGGTGACTCGGTGAGTTGGGAGCTGAACTCACCCATGTTAGGACTCGGCGAGTCAATGCCCTGACTCGGCGAGTCCAAGGCAATCTTCATAGATCAAGAACAGACTCGGCGAGTTGTTCATACAACTCGGCGAGTCTTAGCATATGTGTTCTTCGGATGAAGATGAACTCGACGAGTTGTTCATACAACTCGGCGAGTAGGATGAAGGAGTTGAATGTCAGTTTAGAAGATGAACTCGTCGAGTCATAGCCCAACTCGACGAGTAGAATCAGGGACCCAGGACAATAGTCTGGACAGGGACTCGGCGAGTGGAGATCCACTCGGCGAGTCGGGTCAACTAAAAGTTGACTTCGAATTGACTTAGGGCTAGACCAGGGGTAAAATGGTCTTTTTACCCAAAGGACAGTTAGCAGTGTATGATTAAGTATATTGTGGGAATTACAGCCGGGGAGTTTCCGGAGCAGCAGCAGCAGTAGTAGGTGATCAATTCCCACACAGACCAGCAGCTATTTCGAGGTGAGTTTCCTTCCAGTAGTAACGGGTCTAAGGCACCAAGGCCGGCCCGTATAGACGAGACGTTAGTATTAGAGTGTGGGCCGAGCCCGTATCTCTTAGTTGAGTTGATTATGATATATGCCAGTATGATAGAATTGTTTACACTTGTTGTCTGTGCGATACTTGTATGATATGAGTTGGCGGTTGAGTGTGGGCGAGGCCCGTATCTCTCCGAGAATGGAGTGTGGGCTAGGCCCGTATCTCCCAGATAGCGAAGTGTGGGCGGGGCCGTATCTTCACGAGTGTGGGCGGGCCCGTATCTCTCAGAAAGCGAAGTGTGGGCAGGGCCCGTATCTTCACGAGTGTGGGCGTGGCCCGTATCTCCTAATTGCATGTTGTTTGTTAAATGCTTGCATGGTATGGGGTATTATAGGGGAGCTCACTAAGCTTTGTGCTTACGGTTTCAGTTTTGGTTTCAGGTACCTCCTCAGCTAAGGGAAAGGAGCCGGCGCGGTAGCAGCATGTCACACACACACTCTTCGGTTTCCGCATTTACGAGCTTTTTGGGATTGATACTCTGATATTCTGATTAGTTGTATGTTTTGGTTTTCAGACATGGTTCAGTTTATATTATGGATGATCGAATGATGTTTTAGTTATTAATATTTTCTAAAGTAACGTTTTTAAACAAAAAAATTTTGGTGTGAAAATTGGGTCGTTACACAGGGCATTCTAGACTCGTACTGTGGGCTCAGGAGCATTCCAGATACAAGTTAAGGGCCGGGCAGGGCATACCAGACTCGTATTGTGGGCTCAGTGGAAAGCCACATGTGAGTTATGGGCCCAGGGGTAATCCAGTCTGTAAAACTATATACCCATTACATGCTGTTATTTGTATATATTCAATTTGATGTGTATCGGTATTTTGGGGGAACTCACTAAGCTTCGGGGTTACAGTTTCAGTTTTGGTTTCAGGTACCTCAAATGTCGTGGGAAGGCAAAGGTGTGATCGTACATCTACTTACATTTTATGAATATGTTCCTGGGATACTCTGATATTGAACTGTTTTGAAAACAAATTGGTAATAATTGTTGGTTTCTAAATGTTTTAAAAGGTTTAAAATTGGCATGATTTTATGGATGTTACACTTGTTATTTAGAAACTCTTATTAAACATAGTGTACATACCTTAAATGCATAGACAAATCCATGTAGATTATATGTATGTCTATTGTCATTCTTGCTACATTTAGGTTCAAATGGTCCTTAATCTTATCAAACAAAACACACAGTTGTTTGTAAGTGAAATTGCATATCAATCTGCCACATGGGTACATATGTCAAAACATTACACTTAATAAGTATATTTATCATTTTGATATAATGTGGGTAAAAAAACTATTATAACTGTTAAACTCCTGTAAATTAGAAACGAGTGTCATATGTTCATGAGTAACTGACTGTCACTGGTTTTTCCCAAAAAATCATTGCTATAACATATACATCAGGGGGACTCTACTACGTCTTCATTGCTTAATTAATGAAGTGAGTTATTGAATACATTTGTAAGGCCATCCATACTCACCAAACGTGAAAGTGGCACAAATGGAAACACACGTTCTCTCAATGTTGTCGAAATGATCCTAGAACTGGAAGTCGGTAGCCAAGCAGAATGTTTTCCTATTAAAGCAAACATGATAGTCGCCAACCGGAAATAGAACCTCTTCTAGGTCAACTGGATCAAATTAGTAGCTTCTTTCCACATAAGATAGTGATATAGTAAAGTGTGACATTCGACACTTGTCGGCATGTTCATGTCATCACCAAAACATGATTGTCTAAACATTGCCGCAAAAACTGGCCAATTTTTAAGCGCGCCATGATTTCGCACCCAAGTTCAGGTCTACATGTTATAGTAACAACCGTTGTGTATGTTCTATCGTGCTATAATCAAAAGAATTATTAGGTACGAATTTTTGTATGTATGTTCTGGAGCGTAATTAGGGTTTTTGATTATATTCCAAAATTAGGGTTTTTGATTGTATTCTAAAATTAGGATTTTGTATGTATGTACGATAATCCGAAAATCGGGTACGGTATTCCAGACCATAAAGTCCGGACCAAAATTCCGGACCCAGTTCATTTTATTCTGCACATGATTTTCGTATTCAAGACTTGATTTTCAGATTCCGAACACGTTACGGACTAGCAAAAATTAGGGTTTTTTATTACGATATATCATGTAGTATAGATGTATAAGTCTATGTAATTCTATAATTATCTTAACAAGATTAAAATTCACAGAAAACCTTATAATACCTATATAATTGAGTAAAGTAAACATTTTTAAAGTACAATAACAAATAAATGCATTTAATTAGAAACAAATTTGAATCTTACAAATAAAAATTGTATTTCTTCACTGCTATCAGAAGACATTTTCGGTTGTAGAGGTGTTCGGAATGAGATGTCGAAGTGTAGTTTGAAACAAGGGACGTCGAAGTGTAGTTTGAAACATGTTAAATGATATTTATATGAGAACCAGATTACCAAGTCGGAATTACTACCCGTTTAACCAAATTTGAAATTGGGTCCGGAACAACCCATTCCAGATCAAGTGGTCATTTTGCCAAAATAATTTTTTTTTAAACAACAAAAAAATGATTAAATTACTCAATTTCCTTTTCTTTTAGATATATAAGCACTTATTTGAGAAATCTTATAATTTGTTTGCATTTTTCTGTCTAGCTATATTTTTTTCTCTTTTACCCAACAAACTCACTAAACCCCATTCATGATAGCACAGGGACATATTTGTTTTTGAGTTATTGGTTTAAGGATAGAAGGGATTGTGTCGGCGTTGTCAAGTGTCATCTCTTCCCCAAAACCTTGTCCACATCAGCCAAGTACTTGCCAAGAGGAGCGAGACTCGGTGAGCAGGTGTGGAGCTAGGCATTTTTTGCCTCTTGCCGATAAGAGGGGGCATACCCTCAGTATGTCGAGCTCCACATAAGAAGTGTCGAGTTGCTTGCCATTTCACTCCTCATAGCCTAATAGGATTGTATATGGTTGTACTTAATTATAAAAGTCTGAAGGTTCCTATTGAAACGTTGTTTATGTTGGAGCTAATAGGTTACACACTTACATTACTCAACTTTTTTTTTCTCTCCAAGAAAACTTAACCCTCAACATTTGATTAAGAGACATATTTTCACCAACACCAAATACCATAGAGCTGCAGACATGTAAAAAAAATGGTTTAATGGATTATTATGACATCTGTTTACCTATTGGTATTTTTTATCATGCAAGTCATCTGATGTTAAAACTGAAGAAGGTTATGAAACAAAGATAAAATGATGATTTAATCAGATTAAAGCAATCTATTTTAAAAGGTGACATATGAGAAATGTGAAGAAACCATAGAAATATTATGTTGTATTTTTTTCAAAAGAAGAAGCCTTTTACAATCAGAAATGACAATAGAAATAGAAACAGAAATAGACAATGATAATGATATAGAAGATGGTATAAAAAAGAAAAGAAATTAAAATAGTATCATGGTTTTGTTTTTTTGGTTTGATATTTTGCGATGTAAGGATCAAGCAGCAACAACAAGTCCCTTGAGTTTCTTAGTAATGGTGGCAATATGTTTTCCCTGGTGGAAGGCCTGTTGGAGCTCAAGGTCAGATGGTTGTCTGGAACCATCCCCAGCATAAGTCCCTGCACCATAAGGACTCCCACCTTTGACTTGCTCCATTTCAAACATTCCAGCTCCAAATGTGTACCCAATCGGCACAAATATCATCCCATGGTGAACCAGCTGAGTGATGGCCGTTAACCTAACAAAATTTAAAAAAAAAAAAAAATCAAAAACTAAAAATTAAAATTGTAATTTGTGGGATGGTGGTTAGGGTGCTTACGCGGTGGTTTCTTGACCGCCGCCTTGAGATCCGGTGCTGTAGAAGATACCGGCGGGTTTTCCGGCGAGTTGTTGGGTTCTCCAGAGACCACCGGTGGAGTCAAAAAATGCTTTGAATTGAGCCGACATCATACCAAATCTGGTGGGGAATCCAAAAACAAATCCATCAGCTTCTGAGAGTTCGCTTGCTGTGATTATTGGTACATCGCTTTTAGGAGGTGCACTCATTTTACCCAGCACCTCTTCATGCAATGTCTCTGCCACCTGCACCTCACAAAGGATACATAAATCCCTAATTTCTTATATCTTACAAAACATTTAAAATTAAAATTAAAATTAAATATGATTTTTTTTTTTTTACGTACCTGCCATAATTTGGCTTCCACTCCTTCAACAGATGCAGCTCCTTTCTTTATCTCTTCAGCCAGCTTTTCTACATGTCCATACATGGAGTAGTACCTGCCAGTTCCACAACAAATAATCAACTCTTTACTTTTACCCTTACATTTGTCCAGATTTTAAGTAATAAAGAAACAGAATGTATAGTTGCCCAGATTTGATAATATGAAAATAAACAACCTTAGAATCTAACACAAATTTAGTCATTAGTGATTAGACTACCATTTTTTTTTTTGCCTATATTTGAAATTGTATTGAATTGGACTAACCCATAGTAAATTCAGTGATATTACTTAACTTTAAGGAAAGTCTGTTACAGCTTACAGTCCAATTTCTATATCTTAAGTTATTGATTATCAGTTTATGACGGCTCTGTTCAATACAAATCATGTCTATAAATCAGAATAGTCAAAAGATAATCAATGGTTTAAAATGGATGGAATAGTTTTCTCTAGGAAGCTGTGCTGTTTCCATATGATCAAATTTAAGTTCTAGTCTTCTGGACCACCCTACACTGTAGTCCTTGATATTGATAAATAAGCCCCCCATCCACAAATTATGTCCTCTGCTACTTTAAGTAACAACTATGTAGACCTTTGACCTGATTGATGATAACTAAAGAAGATTCTGATTATATGATCTAATAGTTTGCTTGACATGCCCTAAAACCAACTTTTTCTCTATCCCTGAATCACAAAAGGGAACAGCTCTTTCTCTTCTCCATGCATCCCTCCTATAACTGTCTTAAGCTATTTCTCTCCTTTCTCAAGGCATCAAGAATATTGCAGACCAGTAGGTAATACCGTAATAGTATACTACAAATGTTCATTCAATCATGGTAAAGGCATGTATGAGCAGTATAACTGGAATTAAACATAACTGACTCATGAACAGCAGCTAAAAAAATGCAGCCTACATTATTTCCCTTTAATACTTATTTGACCTCAAGAAACCCCTTTGTAATTTTGTATTGCATACATCATAAATGTCCTGGAGTACTGGTTATAATGCATTGGCTAGACATTTATATTTGCTCAAAGATTATCACAAACAACCCAAAACAATGAATACATCCTACATGTATCTTATTAGCATTGCCAATCCAAGACTATGAATGTGGATATACCATGATAGATGTAGGGGATCATGTAAAATTTTAAAACAAGTTTCAAATGATAGGATTATAGCATCTATACTAGCAATAATATAAATTATAATCAGGAAGATTAACTGTGTCTTAGTCTTTTACCTAAAAAATTCTTGTGTGTTAATTTTTTTGCACCAGCTAGACTTGGCTATCAAAGGCCTAGCAAACAGCAACACATTTTTCTCAATCAATGTTTCTTTCACTAACCCTAAGTTGATTTATTATTTCCGATTCTTAAAAAAATCTTTTTCGTTCTTGTTTCCTGTACTATAGTTGAATAGTTTAGTTGGTTTTATATCATCATCAATCAAATATCACATCAATAGAACAGTACACAAAGCATCAAAATTTAATTTCTAGCAAAACATCAGTAGTCTTTAACCACACTGGAGATCTTTATCTAAAATAAGCATGCTTCTAATTTATAAAGACATATATCTAGTTGATCAAGTTTTAACAGGTTATCACTTGGAAATGTTAAGTGGTAAATGCACTCAAAAGTGGACATCTAGTGCGACTTTCTGTCTTCAATTTCACATTTAAAATACATGTCGTCAATCATCAATTCTACAGATTCAGATGCGGTTTTGAAGATTATAATTTTTAATCAACCGATCTGAATAGCTAAAATCCATATCGTTAATCTCCAGTACCACAAAGTCAAAGCGGTACTAAAAATTAATCTACGAAGGTCAAATTATAATTTCAATGCACTTAAAATACACATCAAACTCTAATTTCAGTCTGCAATTTTTCGCAAAAAAACACAGATCATCGGTCGTCTATCCTACGTTTTCTCAATTTAGCGGTACTGAAAATAATATAATTACAACCATAGACAACCGATCTGATAACAAATTTCATCCACCACACTAAAAAAGTCGTTCGATCGTTACTGAGACCAAATCGATTAAATCAAATTGCGTAATATCGAACAATAAAGCACCTATTAACCAGATCATCGTGCAGAGAGAGAGAGAGAGAGAGAGAGAGAGAGAGAGCACATACACAATATACACTTTTGTAGCCATTGATGAGAGTCCTCGGAGGTCGGTATATGTGTTTTCCGGTCGGTGATCGGTCAAGCCCCTTGGTTAATTGCGTAAAGCTTTGACGATTGATTGAATTGACTGTGCAACGATGAGCACTAACCTCTCCGGGACTCTGGTATTTATACTAAGATTGTTCCGGATTTGTTAGAGTTTGGCCAGCTGGCAAATCGCTTTTAGAATTTTGTTGAATTACCAGTAGTTTACGTCGCAAACGGTGTCGTATCAGTTCAGGAAGGATAATGCCATATGTGCGTGGGTAATGATGGCATGTTGTTGTCACGCCCACCATCATTTTTTCGTTCCTGAAGAGTGAAGACGTCTCACTAATAAACACACAACCATAATTATTACAATTTAAGAAGTTGGTTGAAACTACTATTCACTATTCAAAACAAAAACTATAAGTTTAGGTTATCTGGAGTGGAATCAGAAAGACGTGCTTCACGCGTGAACACAGCCCCACTTCTGATGGGTTTTTTGTTCCGTAGAGTTGGATATGGGCGAAGACAGAAGATTTGATTGGGGGAAGGTTTTTTGACCGTGACCGTTTGTAAAAAAAAAATTAATTAATTAATTTATTACTAACAATCATTTCTCTATATATATCAACATATTTTTACATTTCAAACACACAACAAACTTTCAACACAAACACATATACTCTCATTTAAAAAATACACTTTTCTCCATGGATCCAAACCAAAATAATTCATCCACTCCGAACACCCCAAACACTCCAAATGATCCGTTAGCGAACATTGATTATATGACATTGTTATCATCCCCCGTTCAACAACAACCACTATTCATCAATCTTTCATACCACTCACACTACTACCAACAACAACCACCACTACAATTTGTTCAATCCCAATTTCAACCCTTTCAACAACAACCTGCTCCGCTATTTCAGCCTCAAACTTCCCAACATCCACAACCAAGTTCACAACCATCTCAAGTTCCATTATCGCAATCTTAACTCGTATACCTCGACATTGAAGACGACGACGAACGGGTTCAAGAAACACAACCAAGTCGTAGAAGGCAAAAAAAATCAAAATATTCAACAAAAAAGAAAAATACCCAATGGACCGAGGAGGAGGAGGCAACTTTAACTAAAACTTGGATTGTCATATCACAAGACGGGGGTGTCGGCAACGCGCAATCGAGACAAAGCTTTTGGAATCGTGTTTTAGACCACTTCCACGTGTTATTAGGAAGGAAAACGAGCCAGACATATGATTTAGTCAATGCTAAATGGCGTGATCTTAGAGCGACGTGTACCAAATTTAATGGCGTATTTGACAATCGAAAAAATATGCATCGAAGTGGTAGCAACGATTTCAACATTTTGTCAACGCTGTTGCACCAATACAAAATTACCAACAATGGTAAACCTTTTAGCAACCAACAAGCGTGGAAAGTTTGTCGCAATGGCCCAAAATGGGTCCTTATCCGGAAACGGCGCATTCGGGATCTACCACCGGTTCCAACAAAAGGCCGAGAACGTCCGAGTCGGACATCAGTGCTAACCTCGACCTCAATAATGAGTTCGATGCCACCGAGGGGGAGGGTCCATCGGACGTCCATCTTCGTCGACCACCGGAAAGGGACAAAGTGAGAAAGGGGGCTTCGTCTACCAGGAGATCAACCAACGAGGACGTATTAGCGGAGAAAATCGAAAAAAGTCCACATTTTTTAGAATTTTTTTTTTTGATTCAACAGAGGAGCAACGCGGCCGACAATTGGCACTCACCAATCTTCAAATCGTAAACACAGTGCCGCAACCAAATCTCGACCCCGAAAATTTAAGGGTGTTAAGAGAAACTTTGAGATACACTTGAACAAAATGTTAGAACAAGGAAATAGCAGAATAGTTAATCTGTAAGGATCTGTTAGCTCAACAATAATATTAAGAATTAGAAGTTAGTGAGTTAGATGCAGAAATGTAAATAAATGTAAATGACAACAATCGTTATATCAAGTATACACAAAAGCAGATTCATAACATGGAATGCATTCAAACCAAGTTACTAAGTGAGATCTAGCTTAGTGATTAAGTCACAAGTGACTTGCTCTACGAAGAGAGATGATAATAGAATAAGCTTTAATAAGTAAGATAGAATGAGAACTTGAAGATGTGTATTAGAATTTGATAAGGATTCACACACTGGTACTGAATACATTAGAAAAGATCTCTATTTATAGAAAAGTTTACAACTCTAAGAGTAGCCATGCAAGGCATACTAGACATTAGAGTGTATTACAAAAAAGACAAAATAAACTAAGTAAAGATATAGACTACGGTGCTTGAAGACTTCGGATATCAGTAGATGAAGAGGTTGCTTGAATGCGGTGGCTTGGGTGCTGCGGTAGCAAAAGTTCAAGAGGGTCACTTTTTGATTCAACAATTTCCCCCTAGTGACCTCTTTAACTTCGATCAACTATCAAGTTTAAGGAACTTGATCAGTATCCACCAAAACTTCCTAACATTCTCTAACCAGTTGATTCTTTTCAGTATTTCAAACTTGACCTCTGCGATTTTATGCTTGGATTTTTCAACTGCGTTGCGGCAGATGTCAAGTTGTTTTCTGGTGAGACAATGCATGGCAGTCATAGGAATGAAATATTTGGCGTTGTCAGTCTTCCTCTTGAAAATGACTCCCAGCTCAGGATAGTTGGTTGTGCCTAAGGATCTTTATTCAAAGCCTTCGGTATGCATGGGTGCGGGGTCAAACGGTGATAAGTCAGCAATCTTGGAGATGGAGGGATGAATGTCTGCATCCATTTTTGCGAAGTCACAGACTGTTTCCTTAAGATAGGTAATGGCCCTTTCAAGAGCGATCTTCATCCTTGGATATTTCTCAGACCTGTGTTGAAAGACTCTGGCGTTGAGAAACACTTCTTCCGGGTTCATACACGGAAAATCAGCCTGGGCGCGGATGTAGTCATGCTCCCTTCTAGTCAGGGTGTACTGGATGAACTCAGCCTTAAGAATTTCCTAATCTTGTAATTCTTCACTGCGGATGGTCTATCGTTAGACCATATGTGTTCAACTGGAGAGGCATGCTTAGCATAGAATTGGCTAAGTCTCTCGAACTCCATAGGAAGTCTTTTGTCATCCGGAAAGTTGCGGTCGAACTGCTCAAATACAGTGAAGTATCTGGCATTCGGTGAGATTGGGACATCCCAATATCCGTCTGGAGGGAGTTCCGTATATGTGAGATGAGGAACATAGTCATCATCAAGAAGTATTTGGTGAGGATTGATCCAAGAATTTATCAATGATTCATCCATAATTGTGTCGAATTCGCAGAGTCTCCATACTTCTTTGACTAACTTGTCTGTCTTCCAGTCTCTTTTTCTCTGAGTAGAGGCAGGAGAATCGTTTGAGCTTGGGGACGACATATACTCCTCCATATTTTTGAAGTGCGGGGGAGTTTCTGGTTTGTCAAGAGTATTATGGAGAGGGGAGTTGTGATGAGATGGTTACGGTGAGAGTTGTGTTTTATGTTGCGGTGATGGTTGCAGTGTGGGAATTTTTTCAGTGGAGATTGGGGGAGATTGATGATGTTGCGGAGATTGGTCGGAGGGATGGACTTCGTGGACTTCTTCACTTCCTCTTCTTGAAGAGTGCATACTCGGAGCCTCCTCAAGCTAGTGACGAATGCCACCAACCTTCTTAAATACCGTTTGAAATTAAGCTTTGAGCTCTTCTGCCAGTCGTAGGTTATTGGGGATGGAGGGATTGAAGAGTAGTTTGTGAATCTCCTTTGTGAGCTGAAGAATCTTCGGGCCACGGAAGTTGGTGGAGAGAGAGCGTTGCAGTCGGTTGATAGTAGTTTGGAGAACGAAGATTGCTGACTCATAAGTAGTATGAGTTTTAGCAATCAACTTCTCAGATTGTGAAGCCTGATTCGCAATTGCTGCTTGAAGGTCTATTTTAATTGCGGTAACCTTAGAGATGAGATGTTCCGCAGTAGCCATGAACTCCTTATGATCGGCTTGAAGATTGTTGTCAAGTGATCTGATCCCCATTTCAACTTTTAGGGAGATGCACTCCGCAGCCAATCTCTCTCTTGTTTCCAATCTTTCGATTCTTTCCATCAAGGACTGCGGTCCCGGGCTGTCTTCTGGTTGCGGTTGATTCGGCTTGACTGCAGCTAAGATTTGATCTACTTTAGCTTGAAGACTTAGGAATTCTTTTCTTGTGACTGCAGGCTTCTTCTTCTTCTTCTTCTTTTCTTTTGGATTAGTTGTGGAGTGATGAGACCCACTAGATTCTTCATCTTCATTGAACATCATCAAGTCATCATCTGAGGGAGAGGGTTTGTTTACCTCTTATGGTTCATCTTCATCGAAGCCAAAAATTGGAGCAGAGCTCACTTCGATTTCAGGTTCTTCATCCTGAGAACCTGCAACAGTTGGAGAGGGGGGAGCTTGATGAACATGCTGATCAATAGCAGTTTGTTAAGCTTGTTGAACTTTGGCTGCCATTGTTGACATCCATTCTTGGACCTTTAGGATATTCTCTACGGTATTGGCATTGTTGATGGCATCTGCCCAATACTTTTCCACAACTTGAATTTCTTGTTCTTTGATCTGTTTTTGTTTTATCTGCTGATCCTTTCGAGCTTAAAATGCCCTACGAAAAGCGACATATTTCTTGGCTTCAGCCTCGTTAGAGGGTTAATATCGGCTCCAAGAATCATTAGTGTAACACCGTAAAATTTAAAACAAATTTTCGCATTCTTAAACACATTTTTCCAAACAAATTGATTAACAAAATCCCATTGTATCATAACTTTGTTTCACAAAATATTTCCCAAGATCAAAATACATAAAAACCCATGCGTGTGTACGAATCATGCCGACGCCTTCCCGCGATCATCATTGGTACCTGAAACACATAACACATAACAGTGTAAGCATAAAGCTTAGTGAGTTCCCCAAAATACCATACATAATACATACTAGCCACTCGAAGCTATAACTCTGTGGGCTCGTGGGCCCTAACTCTGTGGACCCTCTAGTCCTAGCTCTGTGAACCTTCCGATTCTAACTCTGATATACTCTAATATACACATGGCATAAATCACATAGACATAATGCAGTGCAACACATCACATAATAGCATACAGTAACTCTGTCACATGACTCTAATTACCCCTCAAGGTAAAGTATAGTGAGAAGACTCACCTCAGATGTCTCGATAAATCTCTGACTCGGTAGAAATACGATCTAGCCTCCACCTAATCACATAAAGTAATACTCTCATAAATATAACTCTCAGGACTAGATTCAACCTTCTCTAGGCACCCTCAGAAGGGTAAAAGACCATTTTACCCCTCC